TAATTAGGGGTAGGGCCACCGGGCTGATACACTCTAAGTTAAGAACAGTTTTACAATTCAAATTGAGAAGAGAGCGGAATTTGAGGTTAATTGTAGTTTCCAAGGGGAATTATGAATATCTCTTAGGATCAGATTGGAAAAGCCACCTCTAATTCGAGCATCCGATGCTAATAGGTGGAGGGTGTAGGAAATGGCTCGGCTCCATGCTCGTCTAGCAATTGAAGGCTGGGCGAACTCGAGTCGTAGGGCTGCACCTGAGACACATCTCGGGACGCCGGAAAGAGATCTCAGAAACATATGAAGTGGACGATCCAGGTTACCTGATATTGCTGTAGTCCATACTTCACATCCATATAATAGTTTAGGGACGACTTTGGCATTAAATATTTGAATTGCTGCTGGAAGGTGTTTGCCGCCCTTCTGGTGGTAAAATCGGACAATGGCGTTAGAGGTCGTGGTTGCAGCGAGAAAGGCAGATTGTAGATGGGTGGTCCAGGAGAGATTATAGGTGAATATTAATCCTAGATATTTAAAGGCTTTTACCTTTTCTAAGTAGCCACCTGTGATCTTAAGCGGCTCCAACTTGAGTTTGCGGGAACGAGTGAAGTGGAGGACTTTCGATTTTTATAATTAATATTAAGAGCTTCCGCCTTACAATAGGCGATAAATGCATTAACTGCATTTGCTAGGTCCATAACTGTTCTGGATAAGATGACGGCATCATCAGCATAGAAAAGGAAGCAACGGGGTGGCCTGCTAAGTGAGGAGGATACTTAGATGCTAGCTTCAAAGTGGAAATTGCATCATGAAGATAGAGATTAAACAGTAAAGGGGCCAAGAGACAACCTTGTCGGACGCCCTTGGCCGTTGGAAATGGAGTAGTGGGGGAGCCGTTAGGACCAGTTCGGACGCGAGCTGTGGTGTTTGAATAAAGGGAGATAATTAGGGAGAGGAGGTGCGGATCAATTCCCAGATGGGCAAGTTTGGACCATAATCTCTGCCTAGGAATGGAATCAAAGGCGGCCTCCAGGTCCATGAAAGCGGCAAATAGGTGGCCTTGCCTTGGAGCAGTGTATTTACTGGCAAGGTGATAGAGAGTTAGACAATGGTCCATGGTTGACGCTGACTTTCGGAAACCAATCTGTTCTAGCGGTAGAATGTTCCTCTCCTGGACCCATGAGAGAAGTTCCTCCAGTAAAACAGCGGCAAATTCTAGTTGACAGACCTGCCTTCTACACAGAAGTCACTCAGAATTCCAGTACACCTCTGATTTTTCACTCTCAGCTGTGGGTGGCGGTGGAGGAGGAGGAGTGGGGGTGTTGCCAGGAAAACAGTCGCCCTCCTTTACAGTCCCCATCTGGATTGGACTCCTGTGACTGTTCTGGAGCTGAAGAAGGAATAATAAGGGAACCATCTACTTTTTATTTAGTATTTGTTTTGGGAATTTCAAACTGTTATGCATTCAGAAAACACCCAAGTGGTGTACAGAAATAGAAAACAATATAGCTATTAATGCAAGCTGCTGTTTTAGAGTAATTTGCTTGCAAGTCATGATAATGGCATCATAACAGATAAATACCATTAGCTGTTAAATGAAGGAGGCAGGATATATATCTCGACAGCTATTACGCATCCCGTAACTTTCCTAAGTAAAGGGTGCAAAACCTCATCAGTTCCTGAAATTTGCAGTGTGCGCACTGCCTAGACTCTCAGTGCAGACGGATGCCTTTTCATTTTCCACCAGCACAATACTTTCAATTTTTAAAAAAGCCGTGCTATTTAATCCAGAAAAGCGTTGGCTGCACGGTCATTATAATTACTTTTGAGAACAGCTTTGTCTGCGATGTGAGTGATCTAGCAAGCATATCAGAATAATATTATAATGTTCCATTAGCACTCCATTGTGCTGCAAAGGGGTGCGGGAATGTGGGCCAGGACGTTCCGAAGCATTTTCGCAAGCAGAAAAATGAGCAGAGGGTCAGGGGAGAAAAGAGAAAATGCCAGGTTTGGGGATTTTTAATTATAGCTTTCCACAGGGCACTGCACAAAATGCGAGGGAGAGCGCAGGAAGGATAGCTAGCCTGAGTACCATCTGATGCTGAAATGCCAGGGGACTAAAGCACCTTAAGTAAAGGTAAAGGGACCCCTGACCATTAGGTCCAGTCGTGGCCGACTCTGGGGTTGCAGTGCTCATCTCGCTTTATTGGCCGAGGGAGCCTGCGTACAGCTTCCGGGTCATGTGGCCAGCATGACTAAGCCGCTTCTGGCAAACCAGAGCAGCGCACGGAAACACCGTTTACCTTCCTGCCGGAGCGGTACCTATTTATCTACTTGCACTTTGACGTGCTTTCGAACAGCTAGGTTGGCAGGAGCTGGGACTGAGCAACGGGAGCTCACCCCGTCACAGGGATTCGAACCGCTGACCTTCTGATCGGCAAGTCCTAGGCTCTGTGGTTTAACACACAGCACCACCCGCGTCCAACATGCCAAATTAAATGCATCTGGTGGCTGCTCCCAGACTTTGGAACTCCCTCCCTAGAGAAGTTAGACTGGAACCCTCATTGTTGTCCTTCCAGCAACAGGTGAAGACTTTCTTGTTCCTACAGGGACTTGACTGCATTTATTGAAAGGGCTGGTGCCATGCTATTTTTATTGCAATTATTTGTATGGTTTTAATAGAACACACACACACATACAAACACACACACCAATGTTTAATTGTTGTTTAATTATTTCTGTGTTTTCCGTGGTTCATATTTTTATCTGTAAGCCGCCTTGATTCCTGTCTGGGGAAAAAGTTGGAGCATAAATTGATAGGAAACATTAGGAGAAGAATTGAAAATAAAATTGCTGATACCATTGCAGGACCCAGAGGAAAGGAAGGAAAAGCCAGGGGAGGATAATGGTTTCAGAACCAGCCTGGGTTCTGATTCAGCAAGTAATTTCATATAGAGTGGTGCTGATCAATTATAGGTAAAAAGGTAAAGGACCCCTGGACGGTTAAGTCCAGTTCAACTTGACTATGGGGTTGCGGCGCTCATCTCGCTTCAGGCCGAGGGAGCCAGCGTTTGTCCAGAGACAGCTTTCTGGGTCATGTGGTGAGCATGACTAAACCGCTTCTGGTGCAACGGGACTTTGTGATGAGTGCCAGAGCACACAGGAATGCTGTTGAGCAAATAGAATCACTAGTGAGCCCAGAAACTCGTTTTTTAAAAAACCTTTCTGGACAAAAGCTTCAAGATAAATTCCAAAATTGATTGGGTCAGGGAAACATCATTTGTAGTCAGCCTTGGCATAGAGACTCCTTGGATAGCATGATTAAATTTAAAACTTGGATGATGGACCTAAAAGGGCACCCTATTGTACTGATGGTTGACTGGACGGCATTGCCCAAGGTCTTGTCCAATGACATCATCTCCATTGAGGTGACCTGTTTAACTCTTTCCACTACTTTCCCCATCAAGACGGCCTCTTGCAGCCTCTTCCCTTTTGCTGAAAAGTGAACCAAACTGAAGTCATTCTTAAAACCCTATAGGCAATATTGGAGTGGATTGTCTCCCAAGCTCTTCAGCAGCATTCAAAGAGCTACTGAATCCCCACTTTTAGGAGCCTAAGATGCTTTATTATTTTCCTTACTCATAGCCAGAGCTTGAAGCTCTTTTATGCTGTCAGGCCCTCAAAACCAGAAGCTGCAAGAATTGTCAATGAACCATGAAACTGAAGAGGTCATATTTGTCTTAGATATAAAAATGGGTGGTGGGTCAGCTATTTATCCTGTGCCAGCTTGTCTTTTCACAGAGACGGTTCGTAATAAGTTTCTCCGTATAACATTAACCTTAATCTTTGGCTTAAAAGAAAAAAAGATCAATGAATGTAGTGTAGGGTCCATTAAGCTTTCAGCATCACCAGTTCCTTTTAGAGGAATGCAGTATCTATTTTTATATTTAAAAAGAGCTGCATTAGGCCACTTTAAGGCCATGCGGTTGGAACCAGGAAATGAAGAGGAGATGTAACAAACGCCAGACACGAAGCCCCAAAGAAGGAATGTTAAGTCAAGCATTTTGCAGATTCCTTGTATATATTATGGTGTACACATAATGCATTTTTAAGAGAGAGAGAGAAGGCAGTCCTGACAGGAGAATACTTTTGTCAGTTACTGATCCTGGCTCCTACCTTTTGAAAGTGGCTCCTAGGTCCAGACCTGTAAACTGTCTGTAAATTGAACACAATGGGATTCAAAGTCCTCCACTGGATCTAGACTGATCTGGAAAACACTATTTAAAAAAATACGCTATTATAAAAAGCTCCCAATGCAAGACAGATCACTGCTGTACAGTGCCCTCTGGTGTCACATTTTTATAACACATTTTTAACGCTTTAACTCACCAGTGTAGATTAGTCCCTCTTCCACATCCCCTTAAAGAAATAAATTGCTATGTAGTTAGCAGTTTAAACATTTGTTAGTCTCTAGATCAAACTGTGCAACTTTTTGTGTAGCACTGCAAATTTAATTGTACTTATATTAATGGGTATATTAATAATAATAATAATAATAATAATAATAATAATAATATTAATAATAATAATAATAATTTATTATTTATACCCCGCCCATCTGGCTGGGCCTCCCCAGCCACTCTGGGCGGCTTCCATAGAAACCAAAAATACACGAAAATATCACACATATTAAGTCGCAACTGGACTTAACTGTCAGGGGTCCTTTACCTTTACCTTTATATTAACTGCAGCTGCACCTACTATATCCAAACTCTGGAGGAAAGCGGACCTGAAGCTGATCTGGCAGCAGCTACACTAGAACTTGACATTAAATTTGGCTAAGTTTGAGCATGTTGAAATAACCAAATAGATAATTTCTACATCACCACCAATTTCCACATGGGCTGTAGAATCAAAGAATCATAGAACTGTAGAGTTGGAAAGGCCCCCAAGAGTTATCTAGTCCAACCCTCTGCAATGCAGGAACCCTGGCTGCCCATAGCCGTCCCTGGCTGGGCTTGAACCACCAACCTTCTGCTTAGCAGTCAGATGCAGTAATCCATTGTGCCATTAAATACACAGTTGCAAATGAGGTTTTTTCCTCCAGCAATGCATGAAAATCTGTGGCAGGTCATTTATAGCCAGAGTGTCAACTTGTGGGGGCCCAGGTAAGCCCCGCCCTTCATAATTAATCTCAAGATGCAGTGTACACTTGAATGGCAGTGCCCATCAACTTGTGCCCATCAGCTTCGGGGGACCCAGCCCCCCAAACTTTTTATGGGGAAGACGGTGAAGGTACCTCAGACCCTAGAAGTTTGTGCCTATGCTTATACCTAATGCAAGTGATGTGATTGTCTTCCTTGCACAAGATCTTGTGGAGTACAGGATCACGTTTAAGATGCTGGTTTTAACCTTTAAAGCCCTATATGGCCTAGGATCCTCATACCTAAGCGACCGCCTCTTCTAGTATGTCCCACGGAGGACCTTACAGTCTTCAAACAAAAATATCTTGGAGGTCCCAAGCCACAGGGAAGTTAGGCTGGCCTCAACCAGAGCCAGGGCTTTTTCGGCTGTGGCTTCAATCTGGTGGAACGCTCTGTCACAAGAGACTAGGGCCCTGCGGGACTTGACATCTTTCCGCAGGGCCTGCAAGACAGAGCTGTTCCACCAGGCCTTTGGCCAAGGCACAGCCTGACCCCCTCTCTCCTTCTGTAATCTTCATAGAAGTCTAGCCCAATGGTTGCCGTTAATTTGATTCTGAACTGATTTTAGAATGTATTTTAATTAATTGACTGTGATTTTATGCAAATTGTGCTATTTTTACTGTTGTTAGCCGCTCTGAGCCCAGCTTTGGCTGGGGAGGGCGGGATATAAATTAAAATTTCTTATTCTTATTCTTATTCTTATTCTTATTCTTATTCTTATTATTTTGCTGGACTCCCCAGAAGAGGAACTCAAGCTCTGGTGTTCATCTACATGACACAATAAAATTAAGTTCTTCTTCTCTAGGACGGCTGACACTTCAATGGCTGCTGCCAAATTGACTTGGAGAACGAAGTCCCAAGCCTGGCAGGCAAGTGCCCAAGTCATAAAGGACATTCTTGCTGACAGCCTTCACCAAAAAAGGCTCAGGAATGGGGTTGTATCCTGTCATTTCTTGAGGCTGGTCCCTCTGGGTCACACTTGAAGCCAAAATGGAACAGTGAGTAGTGATGCTTCTTGCACAGCTGTAACTTGTGTTTTTCTCTTCCCCTTTCCCCAGCAATGAAACCAGACCTCAGGCCTTTAGGATGTCAATCCTGCTGCTTTCAGGAGCACCAAACCTCCACAAATTCATGAAAACACAGGAAGGAAAGTCACTTGAAAACCAAAGTGAGAAAAGAATGGATAGCCTCTCTGTCTTTCTAAGACAGCTTGCTTACTTATTTGTTTTCTTATTGTGTAGGCTGCCCATTAAAAATCTTATGTTTTGTTTTGTTTTTGAATACTGATGCAAAATGAGATCTGAGAAGAGGCAGGAGTGTATTAGCTGTCTGTATTAGCTATCCCCACAAACCCTCTTTGTGTGCTTTTAATGGGTCAACATCCTTAGTAAAGGATCGAAAATTGATCTAACAAATTCATACTTTTCGGTACAACCAAAGTTCAGCTGTCCTCCAAAATTTTCATTTCTTTGAATTTTGCAGTGCAAATCTCCAACAGCAAAAGTGTGAAAAAAATGCACATATTAGGATTTTTTTTAAAAGAAAGAATTGGATCAGAGACAGACAAAGAATTACTGTATTTTTCTGTTTATAAGACTAGGTGTTGTTTTTTACCAAAAAATTAGGTTTAAAATTGGGGCTCATCTTATACATGGGTAGTGCTGAGGGGGTGTTTTCTTAATTTGGAGTCCCCCAAAATAGGGGGCCTCTTATACACGGGGGTGTCTTATACACGGAAAAATACGGTAATCCATTATTTGCTGATGACAGCCAAAGTGGCCTAGATGTTTCATCTTTCCAGGGCATTTCGGAGCAGGAAGAATGGTGGCCATTTCCCCCCCCCCCCTTGTTGCAACTGCCATTTTTTGCCCAGAATGCTCTGGGATGATCTTGGAAAAAAGAAAATGGTGACTGCTTTGGGCAACATTTTCGCTACCACCTTTAAAAAAAAGGAGTCCCACTGTCATTTGGCAGTGGCCTGTTGCCCGCCCCTCCCAAGTGCCGAAACCCCCAGCCCCCCCCAATATACTAACTTAAAACGGAAGGCCAGTTTTGGCTCAGCCTTGAATGTAATAATGCCTGACTGCCTTTATGTGAGTAAGTGCATTTTTATGTGCACGTGCATCTTTTGTTTGGGTTTTCTTTATTCCCTAGATTTTCTTTCCTTTTCTGTTAATGTAGGCAACAGAAGAGATTTATTCCATCTGTTACCAAGGTTACTTCTGATCACTTATGTTAAAATGCCCTTCTTTTCCTTAATATGCTCCTATACAGCAGGGTTGAAGAATCCCAAGGGCATCGCAAGACTTTCCCCCCCGTGTGATCCGCAAGCCTCATAAGCAAAAATAAAAAAATGGGTAGGACCTCAAGATTTCATTTTATAAATATTTCATTTTATAAATATAGGGCTGGTGGATTGGCACTCGCCAGAAGTCAGAAAAGAACTGCCACCCCACCTGATAATTTCACTGCCAATAGTTATTTAATTGGTTTATGTAAAGCAATCCCAATTCAACTGGTATAGGGTGGTTTACAATTTTGTATAAATAAATACATGGATTATTATTTTTTGGAGAAAAAAAACACCTGTGCCACGGATATAGCTCCCCTCCCACTGACAACAGCCAATGCTGTGAGGCAGTATGTGGGGACCACGTGCAGAATTATGGTGTCCTATTCCAGGTCTATTCTTAAAAAGTAGAGACATCACCTTGCCAACAAAGGTCCGTATAGTAAAAGCTATGGTTTTCCCAGTAGTGATGTATGGAAGTGAAAGCTGGACCATAAAGAAGGCTGATCGCTGAAGAATTGATGCTTTTGAATTATGGTGCTGGAGGAGACTCTTGAGAGTCCCGTGGACTGCAAGAAGATCAAACCTATCCATTCTTAAGGAAATCAGCCCTGAGTGCTCACTGGAAGGACAGATCGTGAAGCTGAGGCTCCAATACTTTGGCCAGCTCATGAGAAGAGAAGACTCCCTGGAAAAGACCCTGATGTTGGGAAAGATGGAGGGCACAAGGAGAAGGGGACGACAGAGGACGAGATGGCTGGATAATGTTCTCGAAGCTACCAGCATGAGTTTGACCAGACTGTGGGAGGCAGTGGAAGACAGAAGTGCCTGGCGTGCTCTGGTCCATGGGGTCCACGAAGAGTCGGACACGACTAAACGACTAAACAACAACAAGAACAACAACATTCCAGGTTGAAATGAAATGAAGGAAGAGAATAATTAAAAGGTAAAGGCAAGTCCAGTCAAAGGCAACTATGGGGTTGCGGCACTCATCTTGCTTTCAGGCCGAGGGAGCTGGCATTTGTCCACAGACAGCTTTCTGGGTCATGTGGCCAGCATGACTAAACAATTTCTGGCGCAACGGAACACCATGACGGAAACGAGAGTGCACAGAAACGCTGTTTACTTTCCTTCCACAGCGGTACCTATTTATCTACTTGCACTGGCATGCTTTCGAACTGCTAGGTTGGCAGGAGCTGGGACAGAGCAACGGGAGCTCACTCCATTGCGGGGATTCAAACCACCGACCTTCTGATCAGGAAGCCCAAGAGGCTCAGTAGTTTAGACCACCAAGAAGGCAAGATTGGCACAATGGCTCCATCTATTCCTCTTGTAGCATCTAGTTTTGCCCTGAGACTTTAAGGGAGACGGTGGAGAGACAGGCATGTAAAACAAGCAATGTAGGGATACAAACAAGGGCTATAAATAAAATGGGAAACAGCTGGCAGGTGCATCATCCTTATGGCAATCAATGGGGGTGGTGAGGTAACATTTAGGCAAGGGATAAAATGAATGCAATCAAGTTGAAACCAGACCGGGCAGAGTAAAAATGCCACAAAAACTATATATTGGTACCTCGGGTTAATAACTTAATTCGTTCCGGAGGTCCGTTCTTAACCTGAAACTGTTCTTAACCTGAGGTACCACTTTAGCTAATGGGGCCTCCCGCTGCCGCTGCGTGATTTCTGTTCTCATCCTGAAGCAGAGTTCTTAACCCAAGGTACTATTTCTGGGTTAGTGGAGTCTGTAACCAGAAGCGTCTGTAACCTGTAGCATCTGTAACCTGAAGCGTCTGTAACCCAAGGTACCACTGTACTCTACATTTTGTTGACAATGAAGACACTGGTCTCCAACCCAGGCTCAGCCAGAGATATATGCCAGCCGAAATCCTCATCTGAGCTGGTTGTAAGCTCTGAAAAAGGGGCATTCTGGGGGAGGGGAGGGGGCAGGAGCAGAGCACAGGCTAGACCTGAAGCCCGTTAAGCTGTTTCACACTGAAATATACTCGGAGTTGAGAGTGGATTTCATGCTCTTTATTCAGCTCATAGTGGTGAGGAGGAATGTCTGCTTTATTTACATTATTTACACAATGGGCCCCACATGATTGGCTAATTCCGGGATTCTCCTGTAGGCCAATCAGGTTGCGGATTCAGTTCCGCCTGGAGCTGGATTGGGTGGCTCCTGTGGACTAATCAGACTGCTGCATTCTGGATCCTATTGTTCTAGGACCAATCAGACTGCTGCATTCTGAATCCTATTGTTCTAGGACCAATCAGACTGCTGCATTTTGGATCTTATTCAGCTCAGTACATAACACACATGATTTGGCAACCCAGAACAACCTAAGCTGGAAAAAGGGGCCGTTGAACTCAAACACTCTTTTTTAAAAATGTCTTCTCTCTGCCAGGTTTAAGCAGGCTCAGACAGCTGTAGCCCTTCTTCTGAGTGGAGTTTGTGTGGGATGTGATAAATAAGTAGCAGTCAAGTACAACATTCCTCGTTTTCCTAGAGTGGACATGCGGGGGAATGTTTGGTCCAGCCAGTCAAAAACTTCCTGTTTCCTCCTGGTTGGGACATGCTTCCT